CCCATGAATATGGCCTTTTCTCAAGACAGACTTGGACCCCCATAACCCCTTCAGGTCAGGAGAATGGGCTTGGGCTTGGGCTTTGTGCAAGAAAGATACAATGTGTCAGCCAGGTGTGGTGGTGCACACTTGTAATCTCAGCACTTTGGGAGGCTGAGGCAGAAGGATTGCAAATTTAAACCCAGCACGGGCAGCATAGTGCCTTAGCAAGACTGTCCGGAAATGTGAAAAGGGCTGGGATGTAGCTCAGTGGGAAGGCCCTGGGTTCAGTCATCAGTGCCACAAAACAAACATAAAGGCAAACGTGCTCTGTCCACCCCCAGATGTTTGCTCCTGAACGCTTGAGTCCCAAGGGTGATAGCACAGACTGGGTCCACCTCCATGTCCCAGCTCATTTCACGGGCCAGACTGGGGCAGGCCTCTGTGCCTGCTCAGGGGACACAGCCGGCTCTGGGCTCCCCTGCCTTCCCCTCCCTCACCCCTTCCCTGCCTTTCCCTCTACCTTGTTACACCCGCTCTACTGCCAGAACTGCTGAGTGCCCCTACCCCGAGCTCATCTGTGGCTCCAGCCCCCCGCGCCCTCACCCCTGCCTGCTCCTGTCCCCGCCCATATGCTTGCTCTCCTCCAGCCTCCTGTCTGCCTCACCGCTGTCTTCAGGGGACACAGCAGAGTTGTGGTGGCCACCTGGCTCAGTGGGCACTGTGGAGGTACAGCTCTAGGTTCAATATCCAGGGAGAGACAGAGACGGTCACAGGACAGCCAAGCTGGAGACTGAGCCCAGGAGAGAAAAGAGCCCCTGGAAGGGAATGGGGGATCGGTCTCCAGGAAGACCCTGGTCCCAGAGAAGCACTTGGGCCCAACAGGTAGTACGGGAGCACAGGCCGCCTGCAGGCCGGGCCCTCCTGGGCAGATGGGGGCTGTGGTGCTGGGGATGGAGGGCCAGTGCCCTGTCAAGGGTGACAAGGGTGCTGTTGTGGGAGCTCCTTGCTGCCCAGTGTCTCCAAGTGGGTTTGGCCAGAAAGTGGAGCGGCTGTGAGCTCCAAGATCCTGACAGGAACAGCAGGACAGGTGGAGACCAGGGAGGGGGTCCACAGCCCCCCAGGGTGATGCTGCAATCCCACCCCAGGCCGGGAACTTTCAAGAAGGACCTCCTCTCTGGGAAGAAGTTGGGGGTCTGGGATCTCAGTCCGATGAGGGGACTTGATCGACATGGGAAAATCCAAAGCTCTGCAGAGAGCGAGGCGGGGCAGGCGCAGAGCAGGCGGGGTGGCAGCAGGGCCGCAAGGGCCAGCCCCACTCGGGTCCCT